TTAATTGTGAACCTAAAAGGTCACACCAATTTTTGAATGAAGGTAAAATTCAAATAGTATTTCTAAAGAGTTAGAATTAATTGACAAATCTAATTTTATTATATATCATTATAGGAATATATTAAATTAATCAATTAGATTGATTAATTAAATTTTAGATATTAATTTAGTAATTAATAGAATTACTAATTAATAGTTGGAATTTAAAATTGGATTTTAAATTATTTCAAATCCAAATAATAATAAGATTATTAAATAAGGAACTGGAAGAATAGATTAAAATAATAAAGTCTTGAAAAATGTTTTCAAGAATTATTATTTTATTATTTATCTTCAATATGATTGAAGATTAAATATTAATAAGAATAAATTAATTATGGTGGTTTGGAGTTGTTAACCAATCCACATAATTAATCTTATTTTTATTAATACAATGATGGTGGTTATAAACCACTCCACATTATTAATTAAAAGTCAATATTTGGTATGATTATTTAAATAAAATCTGATTTTATTTAAAATAAAATATATCAAATATTGATAATTTTATGCTAAAATATTTAGTATAAATAGGTGCAAAATGTTTGCACATTAATTGCTAAGTTTTTGACTAAATTCTTCCAAGAGAAAAACATTCAAAGAGTTGAGTGATAAAACAAGAAAGAGTTCTTGTAAAATTTCCTTATAAATATATATTCTACACTTCTTGAAAAACCGAGTAGTTTCTACTAGCGAAGAAATTATAGTCGGAACCAAAGTTCAAAAGGTGGATACGATTAGAGTGAAGACATTTGGATTCCTAAAGTGAGTAACCACAAGAAGTGATCGTTACCATAACGGGAATTGATTTCCTCATACATCGTCGGTTTTGAAGGAGTTCAAGAACAAAGGTAATTTTTATAAATTACATATCAAATCAAAATTAGTAAAAGTTACTAGATTTTAAATGATGCTTATTTGTTATCTCGTTATACTTATGTACGGAATAAGTATTTATAAGATAAATACTTATAAAATTTTAAATTCCGCTGTAAACTCTGTTTCGTACAGTATATCGAACCCAACAGTGGTATCAGAGCCACGTTACAATTTGCATCTTTAAAATCAGATTTTGATTTTAAAAATTGTTAAAAACACGAACAAGAATAAAAATCGAATAGAGTATTCGAAAACACGAGCCGTGAAGGATGACACGACTCGTGTGACTGGTCGTGTGGGGTCACACGACCCGTGTGAGGAGTCACACGAGTCGTGTGACCGGTCGTGTCACTTCACACGAGTCGTGTGAGGTGTGACACGAGTCGTGTGGCATAAAATTTTTCTGAAATTTTTCATAGTCACTTTCGTATTCATGTGAGTGAGCCACACGAGTCGTGTGACATGTCACACGAGTCGTGTGACTTGTAACCTGAGTCGTGTGACTGATCAGTGATCAGAAAAGAGTTGTTTTGACTTAATATAAGTCATTACTACATCAACATATTAAATTGGTGAATTTATGTTGAATTCATGGAATGAATAGTTAATTTAGGGATGATCATGAGCCTTTTATGAATGAATGATTGCATGTTTTATTCAATATGATTGAATGTTTCATTTTATTCAATGAGATTGAAGGAATGTAATTTATCGAGACCTGCGAGTCTCTTGAATTATGATTTGTAAAATTTTTAATTTTTTTATCGTTATAAGATTAGATCAAGGTGGAGACCGTTCGATGCGAAAGGCCCACGCATGTGTGGGTAATTTTACAAGTTGTA